GATTTATCTCTTTTGGCTGTATTGGTCTTCTGGCACACTGGATGAAAGAAATTATTTCAGAATAGTCAAGAGAATCCCAGAAAGTTGAAATGGATTTAAAGTCTTCACTTAAGTAATGACTAAAATCAGTTAAAGAAGTTTTGAACTGAGATCACAAATCTGACTCAAACCTCAAAATATGTCAAAATGTGAAAAATACCAGTAAGAAAGAGAGAGCTAGTATGAATAAAAATATTAAGTATAATATAAATATAGCAGCTAGAATTGGTACTAAAGTAGAGAATCTTCTTTCTTTTTTTAAGGTAGTAGATGTGTAAGTCATGGGCAGACAACGTCTTGCATTTGGGAGAAATATTTGTTTGGTAATGGTTGGCAAATAGCTTTTTTTCAAAACAACAACAACAACTTGAGTAACTCTAAATGGTGATCAGCATTCCATAATACAGCTGTTCAGCATTCTGCATTTGAACTTCTTTACTTGCTGGTATGGGCCTCTTCCTGTAACCTCACCCAAATATGCACATTTCATGATAAAAGCTATTTCTTGATAGCAATAAAGTCAGTCTCTGATGTCTTTGCTAGTCCTAGTAGCAGGACCAGCATTATACTACTTATGCCCCAAATGAGGCTACATTATGGGGTAGATAGGTATATTTGCACTTGGAACTGTTGTATCCACTCTGGTGTTCATTGCAGCTGCTTACTTCTTTCTAAAGCAAATTTTGTATGCTTAGTTATCTGCTGTCCTACAACAACCTCTCGTATCCTTGTCCTGTCAAATTACTTTGAATGTAATTGTTTTTCAAGAATGATTCCTCTTGGCAGTAATGATTTTTTTTCTTCCTCTTCTCAGTGTATGTATATGTCTGTGTCCTTTTCAGCTATTTATTTCCTCTCCTTTTGGTCACTCTCTCACCCCCCTCTTCCCCCCCGCATTGTCTATTGACTAACTGATGCCCTTTTTCTCCCATCTGTAACCTAATGTCTTTTCTCGCTACATTTTTTATTGTCTTCTCCTTCCCCCCTCTCTTCAGGCTCCCTATAGCACTAGTAGACAATGACCAGGGCTGTGTAATCCCAGCTTTAAGCCACCAGTGCCATGGGCACCATCCTCATAAATTTCTAACTGTCCCAAAGAAACTCACACCATTATAGGCACACATTGAATTCCAGGCACCTACTGCAGATGCATCTGAGAACTGAGTAGAGGTAGGAAAATAATGGAGGAGATCCCAATATGTTTGTTGTATTTGAGTTTATCTCATTATCTTTTGTTGGAGTCAGAGTTTGCAGAAGCTACCGAGATTGTTCTAGGTTTTTTTTAAACTGTATTGTTTGATCATCATAAATGTAATGTCGAACTCCAAATTAGGTAGTGAGGATTTAAGAGTCGCACAGTGCCTTTTGCTAACTAATGGGGTATTAAAATATTTTTGAAATACTGTAAATCAAGTTAGGATTTACAGTAACACTTCAGACAAAACAACCTCAGCAGCTAGTTTTAGATGATTAATAAACCTGTAATGTTTTTGTCGTTTAGAATGAAAAGGAGAGCATAAAATGTATATTAACAGATATTAGATAATATTAGTGGGACTTGCTTTGTTTTTCAAAACTCTTGTTTTATTTTTTCAGACAGGGTTCTGTGCAGCTGTGCAAACATGCTACCAGAAGTAGAGTACTGCCAGATTCACAAAAGTAGTGCTGACATCCTTCTTTATACAATAAAAACGACTGCTTCTAATTACTGTTAAACACTGTTAAACTTACTGAGTTACTGAGAAGTGCTAACCCAAGGATACTATATAAATAAGACAGTGCAGAAAAGCAAAATAAAGTGTCGTGATCTTGCTAATGTTACCCTTTGTGGTTACAATAAACATCCAGAAATATGGCATTTACAGAGAAATACTATACATAGTACAGTGTCCTCATTTTTTCCTTAACAGAAAATAATGTGGTTCCACTAAATAATATAAAGGCTGTACCTATTTAAAACAAAAAGACCCACAAACACACACACAATGCGACACTGCACACACAATTCACATTCTGTGGACAGGATCAGAGACAGATCAAACTGTATGTAAGCGGGGGAATAGTCCCGCTCTTGTGGGGAACTTTCCTGGCTTCTGCACTACCCCGGTGAAGTGGGCTAGCGAAAGGATCTGAGGACTCCCCTTCCACTCTCCTGTCTGGCAGAGTCCTCATAACCCCAACAAGGCTGGGCCCAGGATTCCTGAGGGGCTCAACCCCCAACCCTGCTGTGGTCGCCTAGGACAGGGGCTAGGGTGTCCCCACTCCGGGGTACTCTCTCTGCACTGGGCACTTCTCTGACCCACTGATCATTACATACAATTTAAAGCAAATGCAAGTTATTTAATCAACAATTAATTTTAAAAAGAATAAGGGAAAATGGGAAAGGTTAAAGGAAACACATCAACCCGCTCTGTGGCAGGGAACATCACAAACTATATCTCTGGAATGTCCGGGCAGTTCACAGTCTGTTCCTTGTAGGTCCCAGGCCTCCTTCTCAGGCCCTGGCTGTGCTGTAGGGATGCTGTGGGTTGGACACTTGCTCTGGTGGTGGCCACACGCTCTCAGGCTCTAGGTGGTAGGACCCTTCTTCCCAGTGTCGCCCCTGCCGTGTTGGAGTTACAATCCAAGCCTGGCCCGCAGAGCCTCTTGGCTAAGGCGTCTCCCTGTGCTGGGCCCGCTGCCCAGGGTCCCCCTCGGTCTCCCCAGCTGCTCACCACAGCCAGCTCAGGACTGCTCCAGCCCCAGCTCCACCACTCTGTCTCAGCACTGCTGCTGCTCTGCCTCCAGCTCCCTGGGCTGCTTCTTTGGCCCCTCTGGTTGCTGCAGCTCTGCTCCCAGGACGGGTCTGCTCTCTCTGGGCTGTGCCTCTAGCTTTGGGGCTGCAGCTCTGCTCCCAGGACAGGGTCTGCTCTCTCTGGATCTGGCCCAGCTCTGCTCCCCAGCTTAGCTTGGGCCCCTGCTTTCTCCTTAGCTCGGCCCCACTCTGTCTGACCCAGGCAATTCCAGCTCACACAGAGGACGGGACCTCCGTGGCCTGCTGACTCTCTGATTAGCATGCTCGCCCTGTCATTCAGGCTGACCTGGAGCATTGGCCTCTCCCCATTGTTCCTGGGGACTATCGGTCTCAGAGTCCTGGTTTCCCATAGACCCTTTCCCTTTTAGTACTGGGAGCTAGTCAACCAAAATACCCCCACTGAATGTTAGTAAGGAGGCAACAGTCCCCTTACGTGTACATGACAAATACTATATCACTTAATGCACGACCGGAAGGTTCTTGGGATTGTATAGTGATGAAGGCAGCAAAAGACCCCATGCAGAACAGAGTAAACTGATACTCATAAAACTACCACCTGTCCCAAAAAACCCACCAACCCCCACCCAAAAAGAAAAATTTGCCTATAGTGAGTAGAAACTTGCAAGGCTGCTGTAATATATATTTGTACTGGTGTGCATGATAATTTTATATGCAACATGGGTGAGTTACAGTTGCTGTAGGAAACGATAAGTGTGAAACTACTGGACCCAAGTGTGAGTAGAGTAAGGCCTAGTATTTTCACACTTATCGTTTTCTATAGCAACTTATTTATAAGGAATAGTTGTATTGAAATCAGTGGTGCAGTACAGTTACACAGTGCAATACAGGTGTAAGCAAGATTAAAATTAGAACTGCTAACTGCCATCTCAGTGAGAAAGCTGCATCATTTTAGAATAAATTGTGCCTTTCTGACCCAGCTCTCAATAGCATGAGGCATGGGGGTGCCCTGTCCTAGCTGGAGCTCCCAGTGGCATTGTGCTTGGAGCAGAGTCTCCGGGGGAATGTCATTACTGCAGTACTACTTAAAAGGTTGTGGCATGTGATCTTCCTTGCACACGGACAGTTCTATTGGCTGATGAAAACTGTTTGTGAGAGGATCGTTCCTTGGCCTGCCCCACTATATTTTGAAGAGGCCACTTTGGAACCTGGAGCAATTCTCTAACCTTGAAAAATGGGATTGTGTTTGACCAGTGTTCAAAATTTAAAAGAGAAAATCTAGACGTTTGTCACAATCACATATTCTGGTGTAGGTTTTTTTTCCAGTTTGAGATGTTATCTTTTGTAGGTTACCTGAGCAGTATCTCATCATAACTTATTTTACACCCTACTGAAACAGTAATTTCATAAATATAACTGTGTGGCAGGGAGAAAGAAGAGTGATTTATTAAAATTACCCAAAAGTGTCCATGTGCTTACCGACAGCACCCTGACAGCACCCTGACAGCAGGATTGTCTGGCTATGTGGACTCCCTCCTCAGGCCCTACGCTACCAGCACTCCCAGCTATCTTCGAGACACCACTGACTTCCTGAGGAAACTACAATCCATCAGTGATCTTCCTGAAAACACCATCATGGCCACTATGGATGTAGAAGCCCTCTACACCAACATTCCACACAAAGATGGACTACAAGCCATCAGGAACAGTATCCCCGATAATGTCACGGCTAACCTGGTGGCTGAACTTTGTGACTTTGTCCTCACCCATAACTATTTCACATTTGGGGACAATGTATACCTTCAAATCAGCGGCACTGCTATGGGTACCCGCATGGCCCCACAGTATGCCAACATTTTTATGGCTGACTTAGAACAATGCTTCCTCAGCTCTCGTCCCCTAACGCCCCTACTCTACTTGCGCTATATTGATGACATCTTCATCATCTGGACCCATGGAAAAGAAGCCCTTGAGGAATTCCACCATGATTTCAACAATTTCCATCCCACCATCAACCTCAGCCTGGACCAGTCCACACAAGAGATCCACTTCCTGGACACTACGGTGCTAATAAGTGATGGTCACATAAACACCACCCTATACCGGAAACCTGCTGACTGCTATTCCTACCTACATGCCTCCAGCTTTACCCTGACCACACCACACGATCCATCATCTACAGCCAAGCTCTACGATACAATCCCTCAGACAGAGACAAACACCTACAAGATCTCTATCAAGCATTCTTACAACTACAATACCCACCTGCTCAAGTGAAGAAACACATTGACAGAGCCAGAAGAGTACCGAGAAGTCACCTACTACAGTACAGGCCCAACAAAGAAAATAATAGAACACCACTAGCCATCACCTTCAGCCCCCAACTAAAACCTCTCCAACGCATCATCAAGGATCTACAACCTATCCTGAAGGATGACCCATCACTCTCACAAATCTTGGGAGACAGGCCAGTCCTTGCCTACAGACAGCCCCCCAACCTGAAGCAAATACTCACCGGCAACCACACAGCACACAACAGAACCACTAATCTAGGAACCTATCCTTGCAACAAAGCCCGTTGCCAACTGTACCCACATATCTATTCGGGGACACCATCATAAGGCCTAATCACATCAGCCACACTATCAGAGGCTCGTTCACCTGCACATCTACCAATGTGATATATGCCATCATGTGCCAGCAATGCCCCTCTGCCATGTATATTGGTCACACTGGACAGTCTCTATGTAAAAGAATAAATGGACACAAATCAGATGTCAAGAATTATAACGTTCATAAACCAATTGGAGAACACTTCAATCTCTCTGGTCACTCGATTACAGACCTAAAAGTTGCAATACTGTAACAAAAAGACTTCAAAAAGAGACTCCAACGAGAGACTGCTGAATTGGAATTAATTTGCAAACTGGATACAATTAACTTAGGCTTGAGTAGAGACAGGGAGTGGATGGATCATTACACAGAGTAAAACTATTTCCCCATGTTTATTCCCCCCCCCCGCAACCCCTCACTGTTCCTCAGATGTTCTTGTTAACTGCTGGAAATGGCCCACCTTGATTATCACTACAAAAGGTTTTCTCCTCCCCTCCCTCCCTCCCTCCCTCCCCCCGCTCTCCTGCTGGTAATAGCTCATCTTAAGTGATCACTCTCCTTTTAGTGTGTATAACACCCATTTTTCATGTTCTGTGTTTATATAAATCTCCTCATAGTATTTTCCACTGAATGCATCTGATGAAGTGAACTGTAGCTCACGAAAGCTCATGCTCAAATAAATTGGTTAGTCTCGAATGTGCCACAAGTCCTCCTTTTCTTTGTGTGCTTACCTGCAGTCCTTAGGATGAGGCTCGATGCAAAACATGTCACATGAATAGGGTTGTGCCCGCTTCCCTTCCTACAAATACTTCCCTCTGTCTCTTGGACCTCTTTCCATTGCCAGATATGCATCTTGCTGTTTTTCAGCAAGGAGATAGAACGTAGTTGGAACTTTCTACCATGCACAGAATTTTTCCTCCTCACAAAAGGAAGTCACAACACTGTAAAAGCATACAGGATCTGGTCCTAGAGTTAAGTGATGACTTGAGACATGTTGTTTGATTTTTGTATTTTATAGCTGATTTAGGATTGTCTGCATCTTTACCATAATGAGTTATGTTTGAAGGATTTCATCGTTAGAGATCAGATAGAGCCATTTCACCACAGGGTATTATGTTCATCTTTGAGAATTACAAAGATGCTCCTTCCTTCCTGCATAATTAAACTTTATTAACCCATCCTGTCTTTTGCATATTTGGAGCCAGACATTTTAAAATATAGATGACTCTGAAGGGTCAGTAGTGAAAGTTTTTTAAAGAGTACAAGTTCTGTTCAGACGATGCACACTTTCATCCTGTGTACATGAATGAACAAGATTAAAGGAATACTGTCAAGTTATTACTAATAATGTGATTTACTTGCTCTTTTAAACCATTGAAGAAGGAAACTACCATTCTTACTCCTTACTTTTCTTTACTGCTTCTGTTTACCCGTTTACTGCTTCCATTTGTTAATTTGCTGTTTGGTGCTGTGTTTCCTGGTTGGTGTGTTTTTAATACGGTCACATCTGTGGCTCAATCAGTATGAATAATTTTTTGTTCTGGGAATCCAGAGTGCATCATTCTGTACATTTTTTTTTAAATTTACTGGTTTTTGTATTCCCATAGAGCTGGCTTCTTGAAACTTTCCCTTTATTAACAACTACAGGATTTTACCATGTAAGAATAAGAATATTCCCTTGTTCTTTATAGGTTTTTGGCTTAATTTGCTTGTGAGTTGCTTTGTTGGCTAGTTTGTGGCTTGTAGCTTGTTGCTTCTTTTTTTTGATTGGCTCCTGGCAAGCAGGGAAAGGGGAGGCGAGCAGGGGCAAGGTGGGGAGAGAGTCGGGTGCACAGCAGGCCCACCACAGTCCCAGACTGCACACTGGGGTGGGATCTAGTCACACAGAGTGTTGGAGTTCTTAGGGATTGGCTTGTTTTAGCCTTGTTTTGAAATGGGATTAGCTTGATTTTTGGCTTATTGTGAAAGTCATGGTGCTTATTTGCTGCATGAAAGTTGGCCACTGTGATTGTTAGCAGAAACAGCAAGTTGTAAGTGACTATTGAAACTATTTGTAGAAAGCAAATTTTGAATTCATAATCATTAATTGCTACCTGTACTTCCGGGGAAGAACCCAGCGTATGATGGGGGATTTTAGGTTTCTTGGCTTTTTCCATACAGCCCATACTTTGTGGTTGGCTACCAGAGCCTGTGAAATTGTTTTCTGACTGCATAAACCCAAGTGCTTTGCTTTGTACGATGCTCTGATCCTGGAGCTAATGTGTTGATGTCACCTTATGAGTTCCTGTGGCATCTGGCAAAGCAAGGGATTTGGGGACTTATTTGTATGGGTTGCATCTCAAATATAAATACATAGTGGATGGGCTAGTAAGGTTAGTCAGATCTGTGAGCTAAACTTTCAGTTGCCATAGCAAACAACTATATCTACCAAACATATACGTGTCTGTCTCAATTTTCACGAAAGTCGGTTGTGGTTCTGTTTCTACTAAGATCCAAATTATATACTCTGATACAGTTTCTGTTGTTCTGTGGCACTCAGTAGATCAATTCTTACAGTTTCTGAATGATATGTATTCATGAATGAGTAGTATTCAAGGCAGGAAATTCTGTGCAAAAATTTTCAGCTATAGTATCAATAAACAAGGGTTCTCAGATAAGATGGTTTACATTTTATAATATTTTACATCTTTGTGTATATAACAAAATATTAATTTGAAATGACAAATTTCATATAAACATTGGAGAATAATAATTCAGTTGATAATTTCCAATTGTAAACCTTTATTAGCAGGTGTGAGAGCATACTACAGAACAATAATTTGACATGAATTTTATAAATTGAACAAAAACTTAATTTAGTACCATTCGTATTATTTTGCACATGAATCAGAAGTCCGATTTCAATTAACAAAGCAGACCAGGTGAAGGTATTGAGAGCTGCAAGGAAGAAATAGAGTACTTGTGGCACCTTAGAGACTAACCAATTTATTTGAGCATGAGCTTTCGTGAGCTACAGCTCACTTCATCAGATGTTAACATCTGATGAAGTGAGCTGTAGCTCACGAAAGCTCATGCTCAAATAAATTGGTTAGTCTCTAAGGTGCCACAAGTACTCCTTTTCTTTTTGCGAATACAGACTAACACGGCTGTTCCTCTGAAACCTGTCATAAAGGAAGAAATAGTAGACATGAATTGTTGAGAAAGGTTACTTTGTTACTAACATGAATCAATAAGTGAGCTCCCATGGAATTTAGACCTTAGTGAATTTTGGGAGATAAAATCACATATAGTTGAATTTAAGATACTAGTAAGTAATTTTGTTTGTTCTTTTAACATAAACATAATAGTAAATTAGATGAAAGGAAGACATTTGTGTTTGTATTGGTTCTAATCTTTTTTTTAACTGTAGAACATTTGTGTTTAATTTTCTTGTGTAACTGAGACAAATATGTGTTGTGTTATGTATGTGCTAGTATGTGCTAGTAGTTGCAAGCCTGTTGTATCTTCTAGAATCACAGCTGGAAGAAGAATTAATTGTTTCATTTCAACCTTGATCAAACTTTTCAATACAAAGCAAAAGTTAGTACTAAGAACTGGCATAAAACATTACTAAAACACAGTATAGTAAATCTCTGTAAAACTGAAGTGAAGATATTTTTGTTGGTGTGGAGGTTAAAAACAGCACTAAAACTGTTTAAAATAATTTCATTTAATTTATTATTAATATTTGAGTTACATGGTGTTTGTTTTCGTTGTGCAGTTTCTAATAAATATTTTTGTTTAGAAGATTTTGTATTATAGATAATTGCCCAGACTGCTTAACCCCTACTCACACAAATAGACTTTACTACAGGAGGTGTCCCATTGAAGTCAATGAATAAATAAGTCATGTGAATAAGGACTATCTATTCATGCGAGTATGGATTTGCAGAATTTTTCCCTAATCCTTTGCAATTTTTAACTCAGAGAAGCATTGCAGAAGTTTCCTTTGGGATGGTAAATTTACTCACATACAATACTGTGATTTCCTTATGTTGCAACGTCGTCATTATCTTCAAATTGGTAAAGATACAGACATTCTAGGCTTTTGGGTTGCCATGGGTTTCTCAAATTGTACAGGAGTTTGTTTAGGAATTTTATAAATATTTGGTAATTAAATACAGGGATACAACGATTGGATTTTTAAATGGTCAGTCATGTTAAGAATGAGCTGAATTATATGCTTATGCTAAAGATAAATACAAACATACTGGAAATCCTAGCTCTGTGAGGTTATACGGGCATAGAATTTTAAAATCTCCTTTATGATTGCAGGGTAAATGAAACTAAAGTAGGTCTTTAAAATGTAATTACTGTAAATGAGAAGAGCGTTACTTGGAAAGCTCTATTGAGAGACATCTGACAATAAATTGAAAGCTTAGGGAAAGCATCATGCTCTCTAGCTGATGAATTGGGGAAAATAAAATCTGTGGGAAAACCTGTGAGAGCTGAGTCTTGCTTTAATACTGATGACTAAAGGCTAGGCTTATTCATCAGGTGACAAATCAGTGAAAGAGGTTATGCTGCCAGTAGGCCATTTTTTGTTTCTTTGTAGGGTTACCCTCTCACTCTTCCGTATTAGCAAACATAGAAATGTACAGGGGAAAGAGAGA